AAGGTGTCTAAGAAGAACATGGGGAAATTCATTGATGCCATGATTGTTGCTCAGCAGCTGAAGCAGAAGAGTCAAGCTTTACTCCATGCTGGTGAGGAAGATGTAAGCCTTGCTGCCTTTTAGTCCATGGAAACAACCTTCAATTACCCTAAATGCTTGAAGCATTGGTGTGGGAGAGGGAAGACATGAATGCCATGGAAAACTCTGCTTCACTGAGGAACTGCAGTGGTGTTTCTTTTGATTTTACTCCTAGGCATGTGCAGTGGGTCTTCTGATAGCAGCAACTAAAGATTTTTTATTCCAGTTTGGGGAGAGGAATCTGTCCCTGAAGACACTTGCTTGTGTCTTGTCGTCCTTTTTTTTTTTCTTTCCCTTCATGCAAAGTGACATACAAACTGAGCCCTTCCTTCTAGGACCAGGGCTAAACTATGCCACAGTTAATAGAGGTCTAGTGTTGGACATGTTTGGGGGCCAACATCCTCCCCCCGCCCCATGATAAAGTAGTGTATTTTAGTGTGTGCCCACTAGCAAAGGTTGGGGTTTTTTGCTGTAACTACTGAGATTTCTGTAATTCTGTGCTTTCTTTTTTGGGGGAACTGTAGTCTTCAAAAAGACAGGTTTTTCATGTCTACCATACATATATGCTGCAGCTTTGCCGGCATGAGACTAGGAAGGATTGCACCCTTCATTTCCTGCAAGCTCTAATCAGCCCGGGGAGCTTACACCACTGCTTGGTTCAACTTTGCTCAGAGAGCACAGCAATGATGTCTTTCTGGGGCAGTAACACTCATGGTGCACAATCAGTGCAGTTTAAGATGTAAAGGTGTAAAGTGAGGCCCGTGGCGGCTTGAAGGATTGTGTGGGGCTCTATCAGCCAGACCTTATCTGAGCATAAACAAAAAAAAATGTTGTTGACAGACAACTTTTTCATAAATTGCTTTGTTGAGTGTCAACTTCACTTTATAGCATGTTGTCACATGCCAGTGCTGACACTTGTGGCATAACTTGCTGGAGCAGTACGGCATGCTTGTGGTGCCGGTGTCTTTTTGTGCATATTTTTTTTTTTTTTTTCCTAGTAAATTCCTGATGGTCCAAACTGGAGCCATGTTATCAGGTTTTGCCTTTGATGCATAGGTGAGAAGAGCTGTGTTGTGTAGCATGTACTGCCAGAACACTGCCAACATCACAATTATTAAAAACCAAACTAGGGTGAGACAAAATGAATGCTTTAAATGTACCCATATTTCTGTGCTGTGAAGTGTTTTCTGCTGCTGGACTTCTAACATCCAAGATCTTCTATAGCAGCATCCGTTATTCAGAGGGCAAAGGTTTGCTGCAGACTTAGTAGAGTTAACAGTTACCATGGGCTGGGTAAGATGAAAACATCTTTCTTTTTCATCGTTTACTTTTCTTGGCCATTTTCTCTTCTAGATGTTTGCTCAGTGCCATGCCAACATAGCTAGGAAGGGAATTTGTCCTGCTAGTATCACAAGTAGGTTAGACAAGGGTTGTAGTCACTATAATGTTAAACTGAGTCACAAAGCTCCCTACATGCCTGTGGCATGTGTGGCTAAAGAAAGAAACATAAGAAATGTCACTCTTCAGGACTTCTTTGACACTGAACAATAACAGCGAGACACAATGACGAGACTGTACAAACTTCAAAGCAGGAAAAAATCTCTGTGGACTCCCTTTTCCCTGCAGATTGGGAGGTGGTAGATGGATAATCAACAAAACCCACAGCACCTCTTTGAAATATGGCCTGGGGAGAAAGCTTGCAAGGCACTTGAGGAAAAAAAAAAAAATAAAAATGCATGTAGCCCTGTGTGGTACCTGCAAGCTATGGATCTCCCTGGGCTGTCTGAGGCATCTGGAGGGTATTGGGGCACCCAGAGCTGAGCAGCTCCCAGTCAGGTGCTGGTGCAGATGGACACTGTGGAGCTGGGCTGTGCAGCCTCACTGGTTTCTGGGCTATCCTGATGTCAGGAGTCCCTGCATTACACCACGAGCTGATTTTTGCAGTTTCCTTAGAGGTCAAGCAGCACGCAGTACTTCCTAAGGTATGTGGGAGGGTTTTATGGTGGTGTGTGTGACATCATATGTGGCTCATGGTTTGCCAGGGCTAAGCAGGCAGCAAGGAAAGCCAGCATGCACTTATTTACAATACATGGCAGAAGACCTGCTCTGAGATAGCACAGACTCTAGGTTTGAGCAGGATTAATTCGCTCTCATTACAGATCAGCTCAGAGAGTGTTGCATGAAGGTGATTAGCTCAAACACAATGGACTGAGGGAGCAGATTATTTTGACATTTTTTTTAGGCCTGTAAGTGGCATTTCCAGGGACTCTTGCAATGATTTGGCCAAAGACAATTATAAAGGCAAAAGCCCAGTGTGGGAAGTGATGTGAGATACATATACACAATGGAAAAATTAGCACGTGGCAGGACTGGCTCTGCTGTTGCCTAGGGCTTTCTGGGGTCTTAGGCAAAGGGCATCCTGCGCACATGGTCACAGCAGTTTCTGGTCTCTCATGCTGGATCTGCTCTAGATGACATCAGTGACCTTGGCAACTTGCCCATGGCTGGGTCCAGAGAGGCTTGTGATATCAAGGTGTGCTGTGGCTGTTCTCTTCTGTGTTAGGTGATGGGCTTTCCTGCCAGGAGGGCAGCTAAGAAAGGCTGTGGCTTAGTGCCTAAACCATGGCCTGGGTGTTCGGTGGCTTGGTTAATTCAGGGACCTGCTAGCTCAACATGTTGGTCTTGAGGCTCCATTTCTTTGAATGTACATTAGTCTCTGAGTAAGCAGCAGCACCACCAACCCCGTGCCCCCCCTTAATTTGGGGTGCCCTTTAGTTTGTGAGGGAGCTGAAATGCAAGCAATGGATTTACCAGCTGTGGCTGGGGGCGGGGGGATGTTCCCAAGCTGACCATGTATTAGTGACCTTGCCCCAGTGTTGTGGGACTGTGGGCTCCAAGGAGGGCAGGAGTAAGTCACTCTGACATGACTGGCAGCCCCAGATAAACCTTGGTGGTGCTTGCTGTTGGCACACAGGCACTGGTACCCTCTGGGTCCCTATAGCACGGAGGGGCTGCCCATATGTGCAGCATTAAGCGGCAGAGCCATGGTAAGAGGCTCTTTATTTCAAGGTTTCAGCTTTTCAAAACACAAAAGGACATGCTTGAAATTCATTCCTTCATGCTGATCCTGGGAGTCTTCCATAACCTTGAAATTTGGCTCGCTCCTTAGCTTTCCCCGCTTGCTCTGCGCCTGTACGGAGCCGCTCGCCGAGCCCTGCCGCACACCGCGCTGGCACGTGCCGCGGGGCTGGAGGCGCCCGGGTCAGCAGCCACTTCGTGGGGAGCACCATGGCCAGTCCAGGCACTCCCCATCTCCCACAGCAGCTTCGCAGCGTGTAGCTGCCAGCCAGCTGAGGCATTGGCCATGATAGCGAAGAAGCCGCAAGAATTAAGGTGGTATTTCATGTATGGCTGTAATTTATGAATGACACGAACACTCCCGCCCGGCTTGTAATAGCAAGGCTTTAGGCTGTTTCCCATCATATAACAAGCTGTTCTAACCCATTACCCCTCTCCAGGCCCTTGGGCATTTGCTTATTCATTTTGCTTTTCACCTCTCACGGGAGCTATAACCATGGCCTGAGCAGCAAAAACTTGCCGGGCACCACAGACAGGGCAGTGCCTGTTTTTGTAACAGCAACTGTTATCACCTCTACGATTTGCTGCTCCTGCCTGCAGGCCCTGGGTGCCAAAAGAGGTCAGAGACTGACGTTAATATGTGTGGGCAAAGGGCATCTGCCAGTATCGCCCTGTTTCAGTAGCACCATGGGAGCGAGGGTGTGTGGGTCACTGTTGACCCCCAAACTACAAGGAGAGAAAGTGCCAGACAGGGAGGGACTTGCAAAGCCCCACTAATGCTCTAGTTGCTGCAAGTGGGCTCGGTGCTGAGCATACGTCACCCCATCGCCCTCTTCCTTGCCTTTCCCTAGCTGTGAATTCGTTACCTCTGAAGTGTGTCTCCAGCATCTGCAGCCTGGTGCTTGCGAGACTCGTCCCCACACCCATACCAAGGCTGCTGCAGCATCGCAGGGGTTCTCATCCCATAACAGGCTTGGCAGCGGTAAGTAAGGCTTTGGATTAAAGGAGTTTGTAGTCTCGGCTTTGAGCACGTGTAAAATGAGATGCGTGTGGAGCCTTAACACTTAGGGAGAGCCCGGCTGCTAGAAGGAAACGGCAACATCTCCTCGCCCTGGCACTGCTGGACAGGCACAACCACCCACAGCCCCCTATAGCTGCCACCTCCTCTGCACACCCCACCTACTCCCTCCCCACACTCCTCTTCCCATCACTGAAATCCCTGCCACCCTCTCACATAGCACATGCCTCATGGTTTCCATCTGACAGCAAGGATTTCAGTAGCATTTCTTGCTCCGTTTCCTATTTTAAAGCAAGCAGCCATCCCTCCTTCCCTTTATCTTCTAACTCTCCCCTAATAAATATGATCATTTCATCCTGCGAGACCTGAAAACCCATTTCCAAAATTCCCCTGGCAACTAATACAGTAAAACAAGCCCATAAATATAAATAATTATGATAAAAAGGCATAAAATGCCAGACTTGGGTCAAACATACTCGCACAGTGACACTAGCAACAAATAACTACACAGTGTTTGAATGTAGATGGAAGAAGCTGAATACAGAGTAGTTAGTTTGTTGCCCATAACTGTCAGACTCCTAATTCGGACAGGCCATATTTTATTGATAGCAGAGCAAACACAGTCATAATCCATCCCTACCTTTCCTCCTTTGTGAAAAATACCATCCATCCCCAGGGAAGCAGGGATGGAAAAACCAGTGGTGTGAACGTGAGGTGAAAGTATAAGACAGAAAGCACAGTCCCAGGCTGCGTTTCCCACGTGTTTCTCGCACATCATATGCTAAGTTCAATTTTCCAAAAGCTTTGTTTTATTTTTAAAGGTAACATCTTTATTATTATTATTATTATATTTATTAGTTGTTATTATTATTATATGCAGAGATGAGATTTTTTTCCCCCTTTGATCACAGAGCAAACAGTTTGCTTTTGAAAATGTTAATGGAGTCCTGATTTAAAACATTTTTTCTTCACTTTTTTTGTTGTTTTTGTTTTTTAAAACGTTGCAACAGGCAGGATCTGGGATCCCATTTCCTCGTCCTACACAAAGAAAGATTCTGGAGTTCGGACTCCTAGCCACTACCAGTAGGTCCTGCCTTGCTCAGTTGTCGTCGTCTCAGTGTGGTTTCGCCAGGTGGGGTGGGTAGGTGGGTGGGAGGGGAGGAGTTGGAAGAAGGGAGGGTATTTGTCAGCTATGTCGAGTCTTGGTTAACAACTTTGCCTCCATTCATGGTTGGTGTCCCTGAACTTTTTCTTGAGCGTCCTTGTTTTTCTCCAATTTCATGCAGCGATGGCTCTCTGTACATGCACACTGCAAACAGAAAAGAAACCCATTAACAACCCTGAAGTCACAGACATTAGTGACCACAATGAATGCTTTCTTTGTACATGAGGCTGAAATTCCAGCCCCAATACAAACACACACTTACAGAAACCTCGGTGACCCAGCAGGAGATCCTGTTACCAGGCAGGATCTGGTACCTGCCCTTGCTGCCAGTCGGATGCTACTGTCTCTGGAGTCTTCCAAAGGCACAGATAGAAACAGGGGATTTCTCACAGAGAAGTCCTTCTAGGTTTTCTGTGCTTTACTGTTTTTTCATGTTATATTCATACATATAAAATAAACATTCCAGTTCACAGCACCGTGTATTGTCCCGAGATGCTGATTATCATCTAATAACAGGTCCAAGAATTACCCGGTCCCCAGCCCTTAACCTCCAAGAAGAAACCCTTAGAGATTCTTGAATCAAAACTACACTTGCATCTGAGCCATCCAAGCCTTCTGGGTGTTAAGCTCTGGATCTGGAAGTGGTGACTCAAGCCCGTTTGGCTCCTTCGACCAAAAGCCGCAGTCTGCTCTCAGCACTTCTTATTTTTTCCCCTGTAAATCAGGACAGCCGGCCAAGGCCAAGGCCGTGAGCAGACACATGGGGATGAGTTCAGTGACAGCGAGCCAGGAGCCATCCCAGCTCTGTGCCGTCACCTGGCAGCACCTGAGAGCAGGGTGGATGGAGAGCACCTTCTCTCCAGACCCTGGCTAAGCAATGTACGTCCTACAAAAATGTACTTGCTGGAGCCTAGACAGGCTGAGAAGGCAACGTCTGCCCGAGGCATGGCACATCCCCATGTCCTGTGCAGCATAAAGCATTTATCCAACTCACCATGTGGACTAAGTCCTCATGGCTGTCCTCGTCCCATGTGAGGTGTGCCAGAGCAGCGGCACACGCTGAGCAGCTCAGTGTCTCACGCCAAAGGGAGCATCTCCGATGAGCTCATCGCAAATGTGGTGGGGTGTAGATGTAATTGAAATAGTGAGGCATCTCAAGGGCAGGCACCTTGGAGTTGAGAACCTGAGGTAGGTCCAGACTGCAAATGTCATGCCCGGATCTTTGCAAAAATTAGGACAGAAAAAAATGATTGTGCACTGCTTCATTTTGTACAGCTGTCATGTCACACACAGTGGCACAGAGCTCAAATGCAGGGGATAGAGCCCATTAGGTTTTGGTTCCGAGCAATCAACAAGAACAAAATTTCAAAAATTACCTGAAGAAGTGAAAAAAATACTCCATGTGTAAAAAGGCAATGTAAGCGCTTGTATTTATAACCTCCCCTTATTTGCAAATAAATCCTGGCAATTAGAGGCAGACTGCAAATGACATTATTACTCTGCATTTTACTCCTAGCTAGATAAACAGTTATAGCAGTGTGTAACAATACAGGACAGAGATAAAGTGCGGTCAACTGTGTATTAATAGGAGGGATATTGCATTGAATATATGTGCAGTGAAAAAATACTACTTTTCCCACAGAGCATTTTTCATGCAAGGCTTTCAAAGCAGTTTAAACACACACACTAGCTGGGTTTCCCAGTGTGGCTGCAAGGCAGGTACCACTCTACAAACTGTTACTGCTACTGGAGCTGTTTTTTGATGAAAATGAGAAAAAAGAGAAAATGAATGACTTTTGTCCCATGGGTCTGGGCCAGGATGAGCAATGCCAGGACTGCCCGTCAGCTGCCCAGACTACCGATGCTGTCTGCATGCTGCAAGGAAAGCGTGTAGCACAGTGGCAACAGAAGGAAAAGGGCTCTCGCATCCCCTTTCTGCTGCTGAGCTGCCCCTCATACCTTGGTGTCACTCAACAGCCTGGTGATGGCAAATTTGCCTGTTGTGGCAAAGCACCTAATAAAATCTTAAAGAACAGTATGCAAAGGTTAACAAATGAGGAAAACCTGTACCCTTGTGATTTCTTAGCCTGAGCTGCAGAGCCTTTTGATGACACTGAGGATGCACATCACTTCTGTGACCGACCTTATTCTCTGATGAGATGTTTGCCCAGCAGAGTTGGGTGTTTGTGCCAGCGTTGCCCCAGTGCCCCTGATGTTCCATATACAAAGCTCTGTCTCAAGTGCAGTGTTGTCTTCACCCTGACCTCTCTGGTTCCCAAGCTGGCAGGACCTCCATGAGCTCTTCCCGCAGGCAGCTGCATGTACTAAGGTCATCTCACTCACATCCATCCCCAACACCCCTTCAGGCTGGGCCAGATGCTTCACCACAAGGGCTGAGCCTGAGCAAAGCCCGCAGCAGCAGCACCATGGCACGTTGCCTTTCCTCAGCTCCCTGCCTCTCACCTTGGCCTTTGGGCAAAACCACTGAGCTGCTAAGAAGGCCCACAGAGTAATGAATATAAATTAGGCTACAGAAGTAAACAACATTTGCAGCTAAAAATTAAGGAAACCCTGTACCTAGCTGGCAAACAGGGCAGGAATTATAAGTTTATCTTCCAGTCTAGTGCATGATACAAGTACTGACATGGGGCATGGCTGGAGTCTGCTCACATTGTGCTTTTCAGACAGAGCTGTCAAAGCCTCTGTACCAGACGGGCTGTGCCAACAGACCACGCCAGAAAATCTGCAGCAGCATAGGACAAGTGTATTTTCAGTATTTAGATACACCTACAGTATCAGTGTACGCAGCATTTATATGGCATCAGGCACAAGATAGTGCCTGGGCATTCTCCTACACAAGAGGCTTGCGCACGTGTGCTAAGCGATGGCCATCGCTCAGCGGCAGCTGCAAACCCGTGTGCACTGCGACACGCAGGTGTGTGCGCACACACGGGTGCGTATGCACACAGCCGCACGCGCGCGGGCTTTTCAGGACAGTGTGACATGTTGTGCAACACAGGCTCTTGGACTGCAGTTTGTTACTCCTTGTACTGAGGAAGCTTGAGTGTGACTCACACGCGGAGATGTTAGTCATGGACCGGGGAGAGGGGGGGATGTTTGCAAATGGACTGTCGCGAGTTCCCAGATCTTCCCAGCTTTAAAGTACATCTTTGTGGGTCACGACTAGCAGCACTCCCTGACAGGGCTGTTTGGGGTCCCTGTGTGTGTGTGTGAAAACACACCGCCCCTGTCACCTGCATTAAGGTAAACTAGCAGCAGCGTGACAGTCGGCACGCCCAGGCGCTCGGGAGGTCTGCTGGTGCACGCAGCACAAGGCAGCTTTGGAAGGATGAGCAACTTGCCTAGAACAAGAGTCCCCTCCCTGCTTTGCCTTGCTTCTCCCACCCACCCACACCCACACACCAAGCCAAATACAGCCCTTAATGTCTGGAAACCAAGCTAATGCTTTGGAGCTTCAATCAGATAATCAGCTCCTATGTCCCAGATTCTAATCAACACATCCATATTCATGCTTTAATTGGAAAGCGCCGTTAGCCTGATCTGCTGAAGAGCCACAGGCGTAAATAGAAGGGGGTGAGCGGCAGTGGAGCTGTGCCCATGTCTGGTTCTTGTGGCTTTCGATTCCCTGCTTCCCAGCTACGCAGCAGTGCCTGCCATTCCCACGCACAAGGAAACAATTCTGCACGAAGAACCAACTCGCAAATTAGGCAGGGAAGAGACCGGGGGTACAAGCAAGGGGGAAGGGGGGGGCGGGGAGCATCGTTCCCGAAGGCGACGGCACGGAGGGGGCTGCCTGTCGCCCAGGAACAGCTCAATCTCTCGCCTATGCGCCGGCACAGGATCCCAGCCTCATTTCTGCTTCCCAGGCGTGGCACTGGCACACCACCCAAACGGTGAAACCAAAATCACCCTGGGCCGCTTCCCTGGGCCTCAGGGACCGCCTGAGTTTGGGAAACACACACCATTTTGTGACCTGACCCTCGTATTTTTCACTCGGCGTGGCTGCAAGTTGAGGAGCTTCAGGGGATGCAACAAACTCCATTTTCCTTCCTCTAGAATACGGGGAAAAGCTTATTAAAGGACCTTAGATATATCCCTCCACCCAGCTTCACTCCTGGCTTTCCCTGCTCCAGACCCTAGCGAGTTCGGAGGAACCCAATTTTTCCCAAGTTGCCGTTTAGCAGGTAGGCAGGTCGCTAGCCCTGCGGGATGGCCGCGTGCCCCCATGGCAGCCTGGACCGGTGTCTGGGCAGGGCTGGGCACGCAGCCTCTGGCAGGCAGCCCGGAGATGGGCTCTTTCCCTTGACGGATGCCACAGCTCTGGGTGTCGGTATCTGCAGTAGCGGCTGCATTAGCTAATGCTTCGATGGAGAGAATTAATTGTCTGAGCAGCAGCTAGGGGCAGGAGGGAGCAAGTGATTATGCACCCTTGTTTTCTGCCTCTAATTACTGTGTTCTAAACCCAGTCCCAGCTGATGCATTTCAGAGGCATTTGATCTCGCCGTCTATCTGGCGGCTAAATGGGCAGGATGCTGCCAGATGGAATCACAATTTTTTCAGGTAAGAAACGCAGCACAGGATGACAAAAAGCCGAGAAAAAGCATGGTTAAAATACGTTGCATTTGCCAACTAATAAGATGATTAGGAGTGTGACAGATGAACAAGTGAGTTAGTGTGGGACAGAAAACATACCATAGCCTGCCCACTTGAAAGACAGACCCAAAAGAGGAGCTGTCTTAATAAAGACTGATAAAGAGTATGGGGTTTTGTTGTTTTTTCTTAAAGAACACTTTTTAGGATCTTTTGTGGATTAAGGTGACACCTTTGAAGCATTTTCACTAGGCCTACCACATCTTCCTACTCAACAGTGTCTTGTACTTCTTCGCAACATCTGAGGACTCTGCTTTTAACACAACTGGGATGTCGCATCCCTGGGAATATACACTGGGAAAGATCTAGCTGCTGTTCCTTGCACACGGATATTCATCAGCAGTAATAAATGGATCAGACCAGTCATTAACAGGTCACCTTCATATCTGAGACTTGTTCACATCACAAGGACTGAGGCACCATGTGTTTGGAGTTAGGGGCACCTCTGCTGACTCAGTTGCAGGGATAGTTGTCTTCTGCTTTCTGTGGCCAGATTTGCCACCCCACATGCATTCTGGCCTGGGCCAGGTGAGAGATGAAATGTAGCTCTTTGGGAGAGCAATCTGGAACTGATGTCTTCAAGGAGAAGGAAAAACAAGTAACAGAGCACATCCACAATGAGCATCTGATAAAATTTTCACTTAAGTGACTGGAAAAGTCTCCCATTGTTTGAGATGGGTCGGGATATTTAAAAGAACAAGAGGCACTGTGGACGGCAGTGTTTGTCCAGCACTAATCACTACAGACACTTAAAGAGACTGAAATTCCTTTAAAAGACTGCTTGGTGTCTAAGTGACAATTATACTCAAGCTAATTTCTTGTGCAGTCCGGTTCAATCTATATGTCTGCACTTTAAGGGCTCATTTAGCGCGAATGATCAGAGATCAGAAATAAAAATATCAAAAGAAATGTGTTGCGTATGTGTGTTTTTAACCAAAACTGGCACCACACAGTACATTAACGGCTGCCTGCCAGGCTGTTTGCCTTGGCTTTGCCTGTGCACAGATGGGAGAGAAACTTAATGTTTCCCCTGTTATTACTTAGTAAGTTTTTTGTGCTTTCATATTGATCAAGCTTAATGCTATTTCCAAAACCAAACAAATCCTACCTACACTAAACCAAAAAACTCCTCCTACCAACCAAAACCCAAAACTTTCCCAGTTGGTATCTAGTGATTTTCGCACAGAACACCTCCAGCATCCTGACAATCTACAGGAATCAAAACATTCTGTGGGATTAGCACAGCATAAAGCTGTAGCTGCTAAAAGCCATAGGTAACACACATACGTACATACACAGATACCACTGTATATATATGCACATGTATGCATATGTAGTCCTTAGAAATTATCTGGGAGGATGTTTAATATTTATTTATTTATTAGTTTACTGCCCATTTGCAACTTCGAGGACTTCTGAATTCAGAAAGCAGTATGAAGCAACGAGAGTTAAATGAGCTCCGGGAACAATCTGAGCTTTTTTCTGTTTCCTTTCCCCGTGACCGCTCTCTTCACTAAGCTGCTGCATAATTTTTCTGCACATGGCAAACAACTGGGAAGTTTCATCTCAGAAGTAATTGCCATTGAAGTGGTGGGTGAAGTGATTCCTAGCAATGTATGTAACACCTCTGCTTCCCGAGGGACCAGATTTCTCCTTGCATACATTACTGCGTCAGCCATCATGTGGCAGGGCTAACGCTGGTGGTGGTACCGGAGCAAAAGGAAACCTGGGTGCATTACTGCAGACAGAAGCTGCAAAGAACTGGCCCGAATAAGCGGCAAAGCCCACACGCTGGGGCGTGCCACAGCATTTAGCAGAAGGGACATGCAAATATAGCAGGGGAGTGCTTTGACTACTTCTTAAGAGTGATGACAAAGAGAAAGAAGCTGTTAAAACAGGGTAGGAATTGCCCCTTTTCTGAAACATCTCCGCTTGCAAGCTCTGCTCGCAGAGACTTGGACGGATGCAGCACAGAGAAGTCACGTGGAGCTGAGCGTGTTTTACTCCAGCCCTCCCCACGAGCCTCTGCTACCTACAATGAATCTTAGGCTTGGGAACAGAGTCCTCCGTCTGGAGTCACAGTCCCAGACAGCTGAATGCTTTGGGAAGCTGACACGTGCCTCAGCCTGGGAGACTGCCAGCTCTTTGATGCAGCAGCGCTCACAGAGGCTGACTGCAAAGCATGTGGAGGAGGGAAGGGGTGGAGGAGCCCTTAATTTGGCTGCCAGCTTCCAAAGCGCTCACTCGCTCGGGAGGTTATGTGACAGCTGTGATTGAAGCAAGTGTGGGAGGATGCAACTGCAGGAAAGGGAAGCTCTCGGGCTGGGCTGGGTTTTTCAAAATGAAAGCCAGAGCTGCATTTGCTGCACTGAGAACTCTGCTGTGGGTCAGGCACCTCTATTAAGGCAAGGCTTTCCACGAGGAGAGCCACAGGAATGGCCTAGTTTAATGTATGCAGAAGACAACTATTGAGCCATTCAGATGACGCCACGCACGGTACATCAAAAAAGAAGCCTGGATTCAAAGCAACGCACTGATCAGTGCCAACACCCAGCCAGGCAGCAAAGAAATACCAGAAGGAGCTGGAAACCCAGCTGTGAAAGCTAGCGCTTGCGAAAGATTCTCCTCCCAGCCAAGGCAGGAGAGGAAGAGACAGAAGAGAAGCTGGTGACAGACCCCATGCCTGAGGCAGGCCCTGTTCCTTAGCAAAACTCAATGAGGGCGTAGGGCACCAATCCCACTAATGCCTCAGATAAACAAGAAAAGGCTCCCAACTGCAGAAAAGCTGTTGAAAACAAGCACAGGAGAAGAGGCTCCAGGCTGTTCTCTGCTCTTCCAACACCTCCATCTCCTGTGCAAAGGCCACAGATACTCTGGGAATGCCGAGTTGAATGTCTCTCCTCGTCCTTCACTTCAGTGGTTCAATAGACGATTTCAGTCTGCCTTCCTGAACTGGCCTTTCCCTCACACACGCATGCTCGTCTGCCTCTGTGCCTTAGCTGGGAAGCTGTTAAAACAGCTACTAGTGCATGGATTTAGCTGCGTCCTCCACCACCTGTGAGTGGTACCCGTCAGGAAAGCATCAGTTCATTCCCTCTCTCCACGTGTCCAGCCCTGACCCCACAGCCAACATGGGGGTAGAGAGGGGGCACGGAGCCAGGCAGCCAAGGCCAGCCCCAGGCTGCTGTGTCCCTGAGGTGGCCACTGGCAGGTCTGAGATTGGTCAGAAAGGCATACCTAGTTTGGGGATCAAATAGTAGTGCTTTTTCCAAGCAACGGAAAAAAAGAGGTCTCCTTGTTTCCAGAACCAAGTTAGCACCTGTTAAGTACTGCTCATCACACTACATCTCTCCATTTATCAGAGGCCAGCGCACAAAAAGCAAAATGCCCTGGGCACGAGCCTGTGGCACACTTCGGTAGTGTACAGTCAGCAGCAGAAGGGCGAAACTTCAATTCCATGACTTTCACTGAAGCTTCATGCTGTGATGAAAACATATGGCGTGACAGCATCTCATCTAACTTTGGACATCTATGATAAGGTTTCTCTACCCCCCAGTGACTAACTAAGATGTCTTTACATATGAGAAAAAACAGATTTAAGTCATCTTAGGGTAGACATATAAAGTACATCCACAGCTGTGCTGGTAGGACCCATTTATCTTCTGTTACTATAAACAGAGTGTCAAAGTCTAAATTCAGGTGAGATAAATCCTATCTCTACTGACTCTACATGGGACTGGAAACCCACTGAATGATGTCGGGAAAATTCTCACAGAGAACCCAATGTTACGGTCACTGCTGGATCAGATTCCTTTTGAACTGCTGGCTGCTCAAGGGCTGCTTTCCTTTCCCAGTAACTTCTCACGTTGCTGGGCTTTTAAATTCATCCTTTAGCACCCCAAAACTGAGAAACCCCTTTGGGATGATGTGCAAAGTTTATTATATGGGAAGGAAAGCAGATGAAATGCTAACAGTGCAGCCCAGCACCTTTCTGAGATGCCACAAATATTGTCCTGGCTTTCTGGTCTTGCAGCCCAACACCCCCATCCGGGAAGCCCCAGATCTGAAGTTGCAAAGTCCCCCTCCCCATACCCCACCGATGGAGGGAGTGGGCAGATTCCATACCTTCAATGGGTTTGGGTACAAAATGTGATGAGGGTTTGGTTTTTTTCACTCGGTTTCCCTTCATAATTTGACCTTCTTTATTGAGTCCCAGGAACCACGCTCGTCCGGATTCTTGCTGCCGATACAGCGTGGAAGAATAAATAACGTAGTAGTTTTCAAAGACGGATTCCTTAAATTTGCACTCTGGTGTGAAAACATCCTGCAGTGAGAGAGAGAGAGAGAAGAAAAAGCAATGGAAGGAATTAATCACTGATCTCCTAAATTAGGCATCACTGAGTGATACACGATGGTCACGCATTGCAGTTAGTTTAACAATAGAAAACAACAGGCTTCAGCAATACCAGCTCCCAGCAATAACACACATCTAGAAAACTCCCCACTGAAAGGGAAGGCTTTCCTTCCCTGGCAGAGCTGTGGTTTGCAAAACAGCCTACAGTGAACAGACATAGAAAATGTGCAGGAAAAGTCAGGAATTTGCCAGGATTTAGAGTGAAATACGAAGCAAAATAAAAAAAGAGAGCTGAGAAGCAAAGACAGCCTTGCTGCTCATCTGCTGCTCCCAATGCCTTCCCCTGGCTTTGCTCTTACCTTCCCTGTGATGGGCAAGCAATGTGCAATGGTTGTTGTCTAAAATATTGAGGCTTCTTCAAATTCTTATGGGCAAAAGGCAGTTTATCAGGGGCATTTAAGTAGATTCAGAGAAATGGGAGTACAAAAGCAAGCAAACAATTTATTTGTTTCCAAAAGCGATGGGAGGAAATGCTGGCCCAAAGCCTGGAAATCTCTTTCAATAAAGAGAAAGAATTTTAAGTATTTCTGATACAAGTATTTCTTCAGATACTGAGAACTGGTCCCACATCTACCCAGGAACAGAGGACACATGGGTCTGTCCAAGACATCCCCTGAGCCTGTGCCGGCTGTGGGGGTGGCTGTGCCTTTGCCGCCTGCACTGGCTTTGCATCAAGTCTCAAAGAAGAAACTACACTCAGCTATGGACCAAAACTTGTCATGTCTCAGTAACTTTTCAAGATTTTAGCAACAGGGAAATATTAAACCTCTTTTAAAAGAGCTGGCTAGCCAGGGGACTCTGTGGCAGTGGGCTCCCAAACCCTCACTGAGTCAGATGTGGCTGTTGGTGGGTTATTTTTCTTCCCAGACTTTGGTTTTGAGCAGAAAATTCATCCTGGCCAAAGAAATTTTCCCACTGGGTTCCTTAAAACTATGACATTCTTGCTAAAAAAGCTCAAGCCACAATGAATATGCATTTTCTGAAGAACTGTTTTAACAAAATCCCTTCTTGTAGGACCCAGACAAGGTATCTCAGAGCCCCGTGAGTGAAGGCAGGTGCTGCTACAGGCAAGCAATGCTCTCGCCCAAGCCCTCGCCACTCAGAAGTCTTTAGGAGCTTCTTCAACCTCGCTAATGGAAAACGCATGACCAACATCTGAGCAAAGCATCTGGAGTAATGCCACATATTTGCTGCAGACCTCATTTAAGAGTGAACATTTTGAACATTCAGCAACACTCAGGTATATGTTCCCAAGCGCTCTGGGGATTATATAAAGTGTTGCTGGTCTGACAATAAATCCAGCGTGCAACAGACCTACGGAGCCAGGCAGGCTTGAAGCCGCAGAAGATAAAGCACAGCAGAAAGCACGGAGCTGTACTGCACACGTGAATTTTGCATCAATCAATAGCACCACGCAGATAAAACCACCGTCAGCCCAACAGGTCATTTTGCCCTATCTGAGGGAGTCTTCCTTGCTGGAGAAATAAATATTTTAAGAAGAGAGTGAAACAAGTTAAAGAGAGATCTAGATGACTTAGAGCACTATAAAACAGTGTTTGAAGTAGCTTCCCAAAAGATCAGTGTTTAAGTGCTCCTTAAATCTGCTCTTTATCTCCAGGCTTTGTCTTGCCTTGGAAGATGCAGCTCACCCAGGAGCCGGGCAGTTTGCAGCAGCTGCCTGCGACCAGCTGGCTTGGGGGCTTTCCCTGGCATCAGCCCCAGCCAGGCAGCAAGCCCCGCAATGGAGAGCATCTCTAAAACCAAACTGGACAGCTCAATCCGCCTTCCTATGCCTTCGTTACCCCAGTAAAAACTTATCAAGAAAATTCCCTTTAGGGGGACTGAAAAGTTGATAGGCTGTGAAGGATAGCTACCATCTTGACCAAAACCTGGAGTTTACTGTGTATGAGATATCTGGATTTTCAACGCCTGTTTTAATATCAGCGTGGAACAAAGAGTATTTTTTATTTTTAGTGAAGAAGAAATACAAAAGCTAACGCGTTTTGAAAATGTTGTTTCAGAAAAAAAATTCTAGATTTTATTTAAAAGTTATTGAAAATAAAGTTTTCAGATAAATATCTATTTTAAAATTAACGCAGTATACTATTTTGCAACATGCAGCCGTAGTTCATAAAAACAGATGCCATATTGTATATCCACTTGTACCAATAAAGTAGCAAAATTATTATATTCTTTTAAAGCAAATGTATTTAAAGACATCAACCTAATGAAAATAAAGACAAAATAGTGATGTCCTTTAAATGTTTAAGCTCCCTCACAAGCAAACAAAACCGTCCCATTGTTTTCGTGAGTTGGCTGGTTGATTCCTCATCCCCCACAATTCAGTCGAAATAGCACTTCAGGACACTAACCATGGCAACACCACGAAGAAACATCCCAGCTCTGTCCATTCGACGGTTTAGAAAACCCACAGATTTGACAGTTAAGTTCTAGTTAAATAATGCCATTTTTATTCATTATTATCATCCTTCTTATGCATATCACCTCAGCAGCAGCAGCTAGTGTTGCACTGTGCCATGTAGGGACAAACAGACTGGGACACAATTCATCCTACCACCAAACTGACAAGCCGCAGGGTCTTCGCAGGTTTGAGCACCAGAAATCTTTGGTGCGGGGAAAAACCAGTTGACCAGAAAGGAGATGGGGCAGATGAGCAGGACACAGGCCTCTCTCCCAAGCACCACCTGGGGATATCTGGAGTGTCCTCTAAATCTATTTAACATGCAAACCCTTAGGTTTTCTTCACTGATATCTTATTAGTGGCCAACATCAAGCCTTCAGCTACTTTGTGTCACTTAGTTTCTGCATGTGCCTTTTCCTGATGGCTTTGGGGATACCAATAACAAAAGGCTATTGGGATATTAATGGCAGAACCTCTCTACAAGCTTTACTGTCAAAATTAATTGTGGCAATTATGTTGAATCAGATGGGAACTGCTGTTTCAGTTGTCTTGGGCTGAGAAGAGCTGGGAAGAAAGAGGAAAGTGCAGGTGAGCATAACAGGCTTCACATTAATAAAGCAGTTAGTAGCAGCCACTGAGATAACTGAAGGTATTTTTGGAAAATCACTGATCTATTGGCCAGACTTCTGGGACATGCAAGCTTTTTTTGTTTGTTTGTTTGTTTTGTTTTTAAAGATGAATTCAGTGTTGATGAAATGTGCTAGATGGGCAGACCTGGAGTCCAATACTTTCTCTTCATCCCACAGATACAAAATGGGTAAAACCAGTGAAGGGATCCTCAGGCTGTCCCCCCCCATGCTTCTGACAGGACATAAGGACATCCTCCTCCAGAGGTAACGGTATGGTAAGCCCTGGGGTCAGGAGCACCACTTCCCACTCTCACTTGGTGCAGGGACCTTTTGAAACAGGCTTATAACGAACCCCACTCAATTATTTTCCCAACTCTCTCCTTGACAGAAATAGCATGACCAGGTACAAGACAGTGAGAGGACAGATGGCTTCATCTTTTAATCACCAGCCTTTTTTCAGTCTTTAAACAAAGAAATAAATCATGACTCTATTCTCTGCACAAACTCCATAGAGCTCTTGGTCCCCTGTCAGCGCTGTCATGAACTCAGCTCACTCAGAAAACCCACTCAGTTCTCCTCATTAAAGAGTATGCTTGTGATTTGGAGAAAAAAAAGGAAATTTGACTGGTTTTATCTTCATGTGAAATATGTGTCTTTGACTAAATTATTTTTGCATACAAAGTAAATAAATACATTTATTTGTTTACTATTTGGAGATTTAGAGCCTGCAGTATTTTGTTAAATGTCTATAGATATTACTGAAAGCAGTTTGAAAAAACAGATCTTTTTTTAATTGTTGAACTAAAAACCTGCATGAAATATTTGCAAAAGAAATGTTAGTAATTTGCATGCAAAATGATTAGCATCTGCCTGCAACTTGTTTTCTGCTTCTCAATCCAATCCCTTGAACAAAAGGCAATTCCAGTAAGAAGAGTAATTAGATTTGCTTTGAAAAACAAACATAGGTCTGGTTTGTGCTAACTCTAGTTTTATTGGAAATTGCACAGTCTAGAAAAAAATAAAATGGTAGCTAGCTATCACACAGAAAATTAGGAAGACCGCGTTCAATGACACTTGGAATCAAAGGGAGCTGAATGGATGCAACTGCCATCTGGGGGGATTCAGTCTGTCAGACCTGCTCAGAGAGGTATATAAGGTACCACGGATTGCCCCAAAAGCTATTTCTGGTCTAGGAAAACAAGATGTTTCATTTATCCTTGATCCTAGTAGCATCTTCTGCCCTCTCTAGATGGAAATGTGGATGGGACTTCCAGGCACAAGCCAACCTCTGTACCACTTGGGCCAGTCTGATCCTTCAGAGAGGTGTTGGCAACGTCTGGCCCCATCTGCCCCACCCCAGCACAAGCTGGGGGTGATTTGTGAGAGGACAGATTTTTTTTTTTCCAATCTACCTCAGCTTTCACCTGCCTTGGTCAGGTAAACCTAACCCAGCCTCTTGGCCTTGAACATACTAAGTTTGACTGGACTCTCCTTTGCCCTTCTGTAAAGCTGGAGAAGCTGCACAGACATCAGTGGAGCAGCACGGCTGTCAAACCTGTGGATGTGAGGCTGCAGGGTATTCAGGGAATGCGCTGCCACCCTTGGACGTCTCAGCTCCTTCAAAAAATGCCGATCCAATGGTGTCACAGTCATAGTGCTGCCAGGGCAGGGGACAGTCCTGATTCTGCTCTGAGCAAGAGAGAGCAGTGCCAGCCCCTGCCTGTATCAGGCTGGAAGCATCACTGCCACTGGCACCCTAAGCATCCTCAGCCGGGAGGTGCAAAGAAAAGGTCCCCCATAAGAAACAGCATGGTGCTCCTGGGTTCTGATGATGAAAGTGAGCAATTTGCTCCCTTGTT